CGTGGTGGCGCATGCCTGTAGTCCCAGCTACTCGGGAGGAGGCTGAGGCAGGAGGATCGCTTGAGCCCAGGAGTTGGAGGTTGCTGTGAGCGAGGCTGACGCCACGGCACTCACTGTAGCCTGGGCAACACAGCAAGACTCTGTCTCAGAAAAGAAAAATGATAATAATAATAATAAAGAGGAAAAACAGAGGCTCGCTGTCCATAAATACACTTGCTGGATCTGTCCCAAGGGAACGCATGTGCCGTGGAACTCTAGACCCAGAAGTGACCTTAAGTATTGTTTGGTACAACTTCCTCATGACAGATGAAAGTGACACTGTCAACTGACTTCTTGGAAGTCCATAAAGCCAGTTATTTCCTGAGTTGTTCCTGGAGCCTCAACCTCCAGAGGCCGGCTCTGTGCCCTTGCTCTGTACCATTCTGGGTCATGGATGACCTTGAGAATCTCACCCTCACACCTCGTGTCCCTAACTGCGTATATGTGACACTGGCAGTCGTTTCAGGAGGTGTTAAGGACCAGGCGGGTACGGTGGCTTACACTTGTAATCCCAGCGCTTTGGGAGGCCAAGGAGGAAGGATCGCTTGAGGTCACAAGTTAGAGACCAGCCTGAGCAAGAAGGAGACCCCGTCTCTACTATAAATAGAAAGAAATTAATTGGCCAACTAATATATATAGAGAAAAAATGAGCCGGGCAGGGCCGAATGCCTGTAGTCCCAGCTACTTGGGAGGCTGAGGCAGGAGGATCGCTTGAGGCCAGGAGTTGGAGGTTGCTGTGAGCGAGGCTGACGCCACGGCACTCACTCTAGCCTGGGCGACAGAGCGAGACTCTGTCTCAAAAAACAAAACAGAAAAGAAATGAAGGAAAGACGCGGCGTTGTGCCGTTAGTGCAGTGTGTGCTGCAGGCGAGCAGTGGGCAGAGCTGAGAAGTCAGGCAGCCCAGCAGCCTCGCAGGGGCCATGAGGCTGGGAAACCAGGTGAGTCACTCGCTGAGAGAAGGACAAAAGTCACATTAATAATCATTATTTATCAGGCACTTAGTGCTCGCTAAGCACCGTCGGTGTGCTCTGTG